TGGGATGCTGAGCTCTGTGGGACCCCTGGGACCGTGACCAACCTGCCCCCCCCGCCCCGGCACCCCCAGCGTGGTGGCACCCCCCGTCTGGCAGTCTCAGGCTCTTTGGGACCCCCGGAGCCATGATACCCTCCTTTTGGGCCGGGGGAGGGGGGGCTGCTGGGCTTTGCAGGACCCCCAGTGTGGTGATAAGGGGTGTAGGTGACACCCCCTTCTCCGAGGATCCCCCTTCTTGAGGGTCCCTGGGCTCAGTGGGACCCCCCGAGCACTGGCAGCCTCCTTTTGGGTGACCAGGGCTCAGCAGGACTTCTGGGGCTGGGACCCCACCCTCCATGGGACCCCCCTTCCTGGGGATGCTGGGCTGGGTTGGATCCCCAGGACTGTGAGCAGCCCCCTTACCCTCCACGGGACCGCTGAGGTTGTGCCACCACCTTTCTGGCACCCCCAGGCTCATTGGGACTCCTTTTGGGGGGGTGAGGGGAGGGCTCCGGGCTCAGTGGGACCCCCAAAGCTCTGACAGCCTCCTTTTGAGGGGGCAGGACTTGGTGGGACCTCTGGAGCCATGGCATCATGGCCCTGGGGGTCCTGCCGAGTCCTGCCTGCCCCCCCGCCCCGAGGGGATCACCCTATCGCTGGATGTGAGGGGGAGTCTTAACGCGAGGTTCCCCCCTTGTCTCCCAGGCAAGTGGCCTCCCAGTGCCAGCTGCTGCAGTCATCCTCAGGGCGCCCATCTGCCCCCCAACTTCCCCAGCTCCCCGACGAGCCGGTGTTGCTGCAAGACGCCCCAGGGGGGCTTTTCCAGCTGCCCCCCGGGGACCCCTTCCCCGAACGGGTGACGGTAGCCTGGCTGTCGGTCGTGGCCCTCGCCTTTGCCTTGGTTTGTGACCCCCAAGAGAATCTATCGCTTGCGGAGATCACCCTGCGCCGCCTGGCCCCCCGCCTGCTCGCCTCCCTGCGCCTCCTCGGCCCCGGAGCTGATGTCCTGCTCCGACCTGAGACCATTGACGTCCTCCTCGATCGTTTCCTGCCCCACGGCCAGATGCTTTTCCTCAATGAACTTTTTCTTCAGGCGGTGGACCGGGAGATGGGCATCAAAGCATCCCGCTGAGCTCAAGCCGGCATCCCTGCCTGGCACACCCCGATATTTCGGGGAGAGAGTCATGGGAAGGGTATGAGATGGCCACTGAGCCCCAGTAGGGCAGAAATGACTCGGGAATAAAGAGCAACAAGTCAGCAAAGAGCAAGTTTTTAATCTGTTTGTCCCCCTGATGCCGTCACAGGAGGGCTGGGGAGCGCTAATAGCCGTCCCCATAAGAATCCACCCGGAGCTGGGATGGCACCGTGTTCCTGCACTGCTTTGTGTGTACAGGACTGTGGGCAGTGGCTCCGTGGGGCCATAAATGGATGTTAAAAAAGAGATGGTTTTCCCCCTGCGGGGTTCTGCAAACCTCTCACCCGCCAGCCTGAAGGATGGATGGGTGCTGGGGGCCTCCGTCCCCTCCACATGATGGGTTGGGGTTTCCCCATCCTGGTGCTTTGGGGCAGGCAGAGGGTCCTTGGTGGAGGAGCCCTGCTTCAGGGAGGAGCGGAGGTCCCCGGGGCGCTCATCCAGCACGCTGCATGGGGTGAGTGGGCTGGCAGTGGGGCTGGCAGCGTGCCAGCAGGGGATCCGGCAGCGGGCATCAGGGCATGCTCAGGTCCCTCTTGCAGATCCAGGGGAAGCTGAAGTTGCAGTTGTGGTCGTTCCAGAGGCCATTGCGCACAGGGTGGATCTGGCCACAGCTCTCCTGGCCCCAATGCCCGTGGTCCGTGTTGTCTGGCTGCCCCGGCGCCCAGAAACTGCCCGGACAGAGTGGGGTCAGCGTGGGGGTGCCAGGAGTGCCCGTCTTCCCCTTCCCAAGCCCTGCTCACCTCTGGGCCTTGGAGTAGGCAGTTCCGTCCACCCACTGCCAGGAGCCATTGGGGCCCATGGCCGTCAGCCCGATCCAGTAGGATCCTCCCCTCGCCTCCCGTGCCAGGTATTCCTGCGGGACGGGGCATGGGGCAGGGGCAGGAGAGAGCATGGGCAGGGGGATGCGCAGGAGCAGGCAGCAGCAGGGCAGAGCAAGCAGGAGAGGGCAGCGGATGGGGGCTGCAGCCCCAATGCACCTACCTGCTCCTCAGAGCTGGTGATGGAGGCGAGGTGGGATTTAGTGAAGCGGCAGGCGGCCTCTGCATCGTGCCAGGACTTCCCCTCCCCTGAGAGGTAGTAGATCTTCCCCTGGTGGTACCGCCATCCTAGGGACAGTCCCTGCAGCCACTGCCCTGGGGAGTGGGAAGCCGTGAGGTCCAGGTGCCAGCTGCTGGGGCCAGAGGGGCCTGGACAGCCCAGGGCCGGGTGTCACCCCCTTCTCGCACCCTCCCCAAGGATGTTACCGAGCTCCTCCTTCTGGCTCCACGCTGCTGCCAAGGAGCAGACAGTGGTGTGCCCACTGCTTCAGGCAGGGGCTGGGGACAGGGGCTGGAGGGCAGGAGCTGGGGACAGGGGCTGGAGGGCAGGGTCTGGGGGACAGGGGACGTGGGCTGGAGGGCAGGGGCTGGGTGGTAGGGGTTGGGGACAGGGGCTGGGGTGCTGGAGGCAGCCCCAGGGTCTCACTCACCATTGGGGTCAGACAGTGGATGGGCTCTGATGGCCACCAGCTCTTCCTGTGCTCCCCGCAGCTCTGCTTGACCCTGCACGTCTAGGGAGGGCAGGGCAGCGGGTCAGCCCCATGCCAGGGCTGCCCCTGTGGGCTTCTGCTTGCTCCCGGCTCCTGACAGGCATCACTGCCCCCCCCTCCCCCCTGTGGCACTTACACAGGGTGATGAGGGTTGCTAGGGTGGCCACCAGGACCACCCCCATGCCCACGGCCAGGACGGTGCCCAGTGTCCAGCGGGATGCGGCCGGAGGGGATCCAGGTGCTGGCACTGCGGGAGAGAAGACAGAGGTGGCCACAGCCGTGTCTGAGCCAGCCCAGGGACCCTGGCACTGCTGGGAGAGGAGCTGGGCTGGGGAAGAAGGGGGCTCAGCTAGCTCCTGCCCACAGCATCCCAGCAGGAGGGGGCTTACCTCGGCTGGGGCTGGGTGGGTAGTGGATCTGCAGTCTCTCGTACAGGTCTGGCTCTGCCATGTCCATCCCGGCAGCCAGCCCGGCACAAGGAGCTCCTTCCTGCCGGAGCCTCAGCGCGCACCAGCGAGGGCAGCCCGAAATGCCAGGAAAGAACCCAGCAGCTGGGCTCTCGCAACAGGTTGTGGGTGCCGGTTCCTGCTGCCAGCCAGGGTGTCACACATGTTCCCCCGCCCCGAGTGGCATCATCTGGGGACAACCCTCCGTGCGGGGAACACAGACGTGTCCTGGCCCCTGGATCCCCAGCCCCTGACCCTGTGGTTTTGTCCCAAAGCACTTAGAACAATTGCAATTAGCGTTTCCCATCCTCAGACACAGAAACGCTGGAGAAAGCCCTGAATCTCTGTTATCATCATCATCATCTTCCTCACCATCACTATTACCCTGGCGATGTGCACAGGGAAGCTACGCGGAGGGCCTGAGGATGGATGGCCAGGACAGTCATGGATCCCATCAGGATGGGGAGTGGGGAGCTGCCCTCGGGGGACTGCGACAGGCACCTCACGGTGTGGGCTGGAGCTCCCCGACGGAGGTGAACCCCAAAGGGGACGTCTGTGCCTGCTGCCACAGGGTCTGCTTGGGGACACCCAGCACTGACCCCAGGCACTGCGGTGGGACACCCAGCACCACCACCAGTGGCACAACCTCCCCGGGCCCCCAGCTGCCCACACCCTGCTCCAGAAACACCAGGATGTGGCCAGGATGTGGCATTTCATACGTCTGTTTTTTGGGTTTGTTTTTTTTTCCCCCCCGTTTCAGCCCAAAAGGTCATCGTGTTTTAACACAGGCACTGGGATTAGCTTCTAATGTGCAGCAACAACATTTTTTTTTCCAGCAAATGCAGGAATTGCCAAAAACCCCAGAGGCGTGTTTCTGCCCAGCCACCCCTGTAGCCCCTCGGGCACAGGTCTGTCCCCCAGCGCTGCACTGGTGGCCCAGCAACGGGCAGACCTTCAATCCTGCTCCTCCTTGCTCTTCCCCTTCCCCACTCCCCTACCCTACCTCAGCCACCACCAGCTGCGGTGACAGTGCCATCCCCATCCCTGGCACCCCCAGAGCTCCAGCTGAGCTCCACCGGCTTGGAGCCAGCTGAGGGCACTAAATTGGAGGCAGCCCCAGGTGCACCAGGACAGTGAGGGTCCACGGCCAAGGCTCCCTGCAGCCACACACAGCTGTTCTCCAAGTTCTCCACCTTGCCTGCAAGCCCTCACCCTTTCAGCTGCTCCATTTAATTTCCTTTTAACATATTTTTCCCGTTTAAATGCCCTTCTCTTTAGTTAAGTGGACCCGGTGCAGGGAGGAGTCCTACAGGGGACCTCGAGCATCATTTCCCCGTCGAACCTGGTTTCACATTTGTGAGTCTCCCTGGGATTAACTGAACTTTCCCCTTACTGCGACTGTGTTTTCTGCCCTGGCAGAGACCTGCAGCCTCTCTGGAATTCCTTGGCATCTTGTAGACACTGCCAGCATCCTCCTCTGCTCACCGATGCTGTAGCTCTACTCTGCCTTTCTCAGCTGGGCTTCCAGCCTGTAAAGGTTCTCTGCTTAGACCGGGCATTAGGAAAAGGTTCTTCACTGAGTGGATGGTCGGTCCCTGGAAGAAGCTCCTCAGGGAGGTGGTAACAGCACCAACCCTGCCAGCATTCAAAGAGCATCTGGATGACGCTCTTAGCCATACGGTTTAGTTTTAGGTATTCTTGTGAGGAGCGGGGAGTTGGACTCGATGATTCTCAACGGGCCCCTTCCAACCTGAGCTATTTTGTGATTCTACACATTGACGCAACAAAAACATTTAATTTATTGGGCTGCGCTTTGCTTCTCTGTCAACACAATTTGATTGTTCTCACTTAATGTGGATTTTCCTACATATGTTTTCGTAAAGTTTTTCACCGCCAAATCCATGAGTGGCATCGGACAGAGGCGCTCGCCCATTGGGAGCTGACGGGACCTCGGGAGGTGGGAGGATGCAGCCAGGTTTTGCGACGTTGTGAAACGGGGTGAATCTGGGCTGACAACAACACCCCCAACACCCAGCACCAAGAGGCTGGATGATGCTGCAGAAGTGTCCAGAGGACTACGAAACGGCCAGGAAGAGGAAGGAAATCGGCTCATCTGCGTGTTGCACAAGTGGTGAATCACAGTCATAAAATATCTTGAGTTGGAAGGGACCCATGGGGATCATCTTGTCCATCGCACTGCAAGGAGCAGGGAGAGGAGCGGGGCTTGCCCAGCTCTGTGGCCTATCCAGATCCTTCTGCAAGGCCTCTCTACCCTTGAGGGAGTCCACAGCTCCTCCTTGTTTAGCAAACTTACTTAACTTACATTCAATTTCTGTATCCAGATAATTTATAAAAGCATTAAATAGCCTGGGGAACCCCACTGGTGACTGGCCACCAGCTTGATGTGACCCCATTTACCATTACCCTTTGAACCTGACCCTTCAGCCAATTTCTCACCCAATGTATGACTTGGCTAGCTGTGTGCTGGACGTTGCGCCCAGGACACCGTGAGAGACAGTATCAAAAGCTTTGCTAAAATCCAAAAGTCCCCATGACTACTGATTTCCCTTGGTCAATCAGACGGGTGATCTCATCATAAAAGGAAATGAAGTTGGTTAAGCAGGACTTTCTCCTCCTGAACCCACACTGGCTCTGACCAATGACTGTGTTGTCTCTCAAGAGGTTTTCAGTCACTAACAGAACAACCTTTGCCATCATTTTACCAAGCACTGACGTAAGACTAACAGGATGTAATTACCAGGGTCTTCCTTCTTTCACTTCTTGAAAATTTGGAGAACATTTGCCAGCTTCCAGTTAACTGGGATGTCTCCAGTCTCCCAAGACTGTTCACAAATAAGAGAGACGTCCTGTGATAGCATCAAGAGATGCTATCATGATACCATCACGATATCATGACATTATATGGTAACATCAGGGAACGGGCAGGGGAGGGACAGTCCCTGTTGGGGAGCATCATGCTGGAGTCTGGCCCAATGTCTCCATCCATTGATCCATGTGCCCATTGGTCCATCCATGTGCCCACCAGTCTGTGTGCTCATGGGCCCATCCATGTTCTCTCTGGACCATCTCTGTGCCTAACAGCCCATCTGTGTGCCCAGTGGGCCATCCATTGATCCATGTGCCCATTGGTCCATCCATGTGCCCACCAGTCTGTGTGCTCATGGGCCCATCCATGTTCTCTCTGGACCATCTCTGTGCCTAACAGCCCATCTGTGTGCCCAGTGGGCCATCCATTGATCCATGTGCCCATTGGTCCATCCGTGTACCCATCAGACCATCTGTGTGCCCACTCATCCATCTCTGTACCCATGGGTCCGTGGTCACTGCAAGCAGGACAGTCCCTCTGTGGGCACTGTAAGCCCCAGCTCCTCCCTGGAGCCCCAGCACCAAGAGCTGGTCCTTCCTGCCAGTGGGATGCAGGAGCCGTGCAATCCCTGCTGCCCCATGGGGAAACTGAGGCACGGACCAAGTGCCCGGGGATCACTGAGGAAGCATAGAGCAGTGACAGGGTTGGAGGGCAGCTCTTGCTGTCACCCAGGGCAGAAGTCCCCTCCTCCAGAGCCACCAGCTCCATCAAATGAGCAATTAGTGCCGCTCAGGATGTCACCTGCACGGGTGACAGGCAGTTCCCAGAAGCAAGCTGGCCCTGATGACTGTCCCCAAGGACTTATGCAGACGCACATGCAGCGGAAGGAGTAATTTAGGAAATCCTTGCAAATATTATCCAAGCTGATTTATTAACTCCGAGGTCTGGCTTCTCGCTGGGGTTGCCTGGGTGCATGGAGGAGCCCACACCTGCCCAGTGTCTCGTTTCACCCCAGGTGGGGGTAAAGTCAAACCCAGGAGAAATGGGCTACATTTGGGGTGGGATCCCAACAGGAAGCGGGACTCAGAGTCCTGCTGCTGGGAAGGTCTGTCCCAGTCCCATCCTTTTCCCCAGGGAAAAAAGGAAGGAGGGGAAGACATGAACCCAAAGTGGGGGGTGATCGGCTGCTGTCTCTAATGGCCAAATTCCACCCAGAAAAAACCCTGCAGGGAAGTGCTAAACTGAGCCAAACTGGGTGTTCCACCTCAAACTATCCTGTGCTTAACTGGGAGCAGGAAAGCCCCGTGGGGGAGCACACATCCCCTCCAGCGGTGTGGGCTGTGCCTGCGGCTCTGCTTCCCAGCACAGCAGGGTGTCAAATCAGCTTCACCCACGGGAGACGTGCTGATAAAAGCATTCGGGGGGAACAGGCTGCAGCTGTGGGGTTCAAAAGATGTCCTCCCCCCAGCCTGGTGAAGGAAGCTGCACACACACGGTCTCGCACTGTGGGACACACAGCTCTGCCTGAGCTTCAACCATCCCTGTCCCCACCTGACCCGAGCAATTCCCTGGGGCACCAGACCCCCACAGTAGCATCGCTGAGGGGCAGCCAGGAGAGGACAATGATGGAACATGCTTGGGATGTCCCCATGCCAAGGCAGCAGCTCCACACTGCGATCGCTGTGCGCTTTCAGCTCCCGCCTTGCTTCCTAAATTTAGGATTAAAGATCAGTCCCGACTTTTTAAAGCACCCACAGCACCCAGCCACGGGCACCCACATGCAAAAGCAGTCTGGGGTCTCAGGGGGTCTCCCTGTGGCAGTCTGGGATCTCTGTGCATGGGGACAGCCAGGAATGCCTGCCTACCCCTTCCCGGCCACATCCTGCTGCTCAGCACGTGGGCCTGGGGGTATATCCCCCCACCCCAGCCCAAGCTGACCCCCAGGACCCCAGATATTGCCAGGGCAGCCCCTAGCCCCAGCTGGTACCAAAGGACACCAGTCCGTCCCCAACAGGTGACATCCCCCGATGCCAGAGGGCCCCAATTTGAGCCCAGACTACCTCAGCCAACCCCAAAGGACCCCACCTCACCCCAGGGGGCCCCAGCTGACCCCACCTGATCTCAAGGGATCTCAGGTCAGGCTCCCAGACAATCCTTGAGGCCCCCAGCTGACCCCCTGGGGGCAGGGAACCCCATCCTCCCCCGGGGACCCCTGCCTCCCACAGCGCCCTGCAACGCCCTCCGACTCGCCAATTCCCCTATCAAAATGGCGGCCGGAGCCTGCCCTCACCGCCTGCCCGCAC